AAATTTAAGAAAAAATCCAAAGTCCTGCACCACCCAACATTTGGATCCCCCCTCCACCCCGTATCTGCTTCTGTGGATTGCAACCCACGAAAGTTCACCCTGACATGGATGGCGTCTGTCTTCAGGTGCCACAAACGCTTTCTTCTCTCTAAGGAATGGTGGTAGTGGTGGAAGTTTACAGCACGTGCCCCGGGCAACTGTTCTTAGGATGCTGCGGGACCAGCCACGCTGTCCCTTCGGCTGTTCTCAAAGTTTAGGGCCCCTCTCCAGCCAGTCTCTGCCCAGACTCTGGTCTTATTGTGCCCCCTTCTGGTCAAAACGTTGGGGCTATCAAACCAACCCAGTTCGGAGTGGGCTGATTAAAATCTGACCTAAATTCAGATCCTCCTCTCACTGCTATTCTTGCGTTCTCCTGAAGTCAGCAAATGTTGTCGAAAACTCTCTTATACACCACCCACCCACCTGCAATGCTGCGAAAGGGATCCTTCTGTCTTCCCATCCTCTCGTCTAACAGAAAGCAGGGTGCTTGTGGCTCTCCAGGACCCCAGATGGGGGAATCTCTTGCCTATGGCTTATAATCCTCTTCACTGAAGGTGCTAGACGTGGAATCTGGAACCTCCCCACCAGGTGGATCTGTGCCACTGAGCTACGTACGCGGTCCATTCCAGCCACACAGTAAGAGCAATTCCACAATTAAAACCAACTTTGCTTTCCACAGCAGGTTTTCTCATCCCGTAAATAACAAAGCCTTTGCCTGTACAGCCAGATTGGGCTCCTCCGTGCAGCCACTCGGAGGGAGGCCCCAAAAGTCTTCTCCAAGAGGCAGGGCCTTCTATGCCGTGGCATCGACTTTATGGAATCAGCTCCCAGAGGAACAGGGGGTGCCTTGAATCAGCCATTAAGAATATATAAAACAAAAGCAGAAAACCAACAGGAAGCGTTTGAGGTCAAGTCACCTTCTTCAAGGCTGTGCATCAAGTTCTTGTGGGTCGTTCCAACTTATATGCTGTTAATAATGTCCCAAATTCACACACGGATGAAGTCAAAGCCAGGTTTACTGCTTAGATGGAGATTTTAGCTGCAGCAGGCAAGTTGTTTCCAAGCTCCTTCCTAGCTAGCAGTTGTCGTTTAGAAGGCAACGCGAAACATTTCTTTTCAGGAAGGTCTTTCCTATTAACCCAGGTTGGCAGTCTGTTTGCCTCCTGTCCTGATATTTATTGGGAAATTGCCTTTGCTGCCATTTGGTTTTTGGGCTGTTAGTGTTTTTGTTCATGTAATCTATATTATAACTTGTTGTCAAACCACCCAGAATAGTGCTTTTACACTCACGGTAAGGTAAAGGTAAAGGTAAAGGTTCCCATTGACAATTTTTGTCAAGTCGTGTTCGACTCTAGGGGGTGGTGCTCATCCCCATTTCCAAGCCATAGAGCCAGCGTTTTGTCAGAGGACAATCTTCCGTGGTCACATGGCCAGTGCGCCTTAGACACGGAACGTTGTTACCTTCCCACCGAGGTGGTCCTTATTTATCTACTTGTATTTGCATGCTTTCGAACCGCTAGGTTGGCGGGAGCTGGGACAAGCGACGGGCACTTACTCCGCCGCGTGGATTCGATCTTACGACTGCTTGGTCTTCTGACCCTGCAGCACAGGTTTCTGCACTTTAGCCCGCAGCTCCACCACGTCCCTTTACACTCACAGGGTAGTATATAAATTAAAGATAAGAAACAAGCAAATGGCCAGCTTTACCCAGCAGCAGCCTCTGCTTAGAGGAGAGTGGAACAAAATCATAATAAAATACTACAGTGTATATTACCTTACTTCCCTTTTCTTCTGTTTTTATTTGTAAATATTTGTCTATGGGTGGATGTTTGTGTCTCCATCCGAAGGAGAAACAAAGACTCAGGAAGTTTAAAAATGGGGACGGTTCACTTAAAAAAAACCTCCCAAAGTATCTTGAGAACGTCCAATATTTATATGTTATCCTTTTAGAATGTTTTAAGCTTTTAAACTGTTTGTTTTTTTCCGCTTTGGCTCTGACAGTGGCAGATTTATTACTCAAACCATCATAAGGCTAGGAAAATGGAAAAGCAGCAGGAAAAGAAGACCTAAAATGAAATGGGAGACACAGGAAAGGAAGCCACGGCCTTTGACATCCAAGACCTCAGCGGAACACTCTTAGCAACCGAACCTTTTGGGAGTCATTGATTCATGGATGTATCGTAGGTGGGAAGTGACTGGATGGCACATCAGATCAAATCAGGCCTGACCTCTGACTATAATCCAATTGACTAAACCGAGGCTCTTATACTTTGGACATACCTTGAGAAGTCCATACCCTCTGGAAAAGACGATAGTGCTCGGATACGTGAAAGGCAGTAGTAGAAGAAAAAGGCCTAGCATGCAATGAACCGACTCAATACAGGAACTGTAGCCTCCAGTCTGCAAGGTTAGACCACTGATATTCATGACAGTGCCTCTTGAAGGTCATCCTAAATCCTGAGGAAATCTGATGCCACGTAACACATGAACTACGAGTCCAAAGAAGTCCGCCAACTAAGTTGGCCAAGACATTTTGGGCCCCTAAAAAAGCAAAGAAAACGTATTTCCCCTCCACCCGCTGCAACCTCTTACAACGCTATCCCCACTTCTGACTGGGTTCCTTCTGATGTCTCCCGTTCGTCTTTTATATGCTCTAATATGTTCTTTTAAGCGAGTACCAGCAAGGACATCTGAAACCACGCCTTATAGCACTGGGGTGCCTTTACAAATGCATTAGAAACAGCAAGAGTTTAATAACTTGCATCTTTATAAGAGAATTTCTAGTACACAGTTACAAATAAAACATTACTGGAGAGGCTGGATAATGTATATAAATATAAGCACTAAACCATCTGCCAATAAAGCACTGGCTGTGCACTTCGTGCGTGAGGGGGTGTCCATCCGATCACATGCCTTCTTCTCTTTTGCAACCACCTCCCATGCCAACAGGTCATCCAAAGGCCCAAGTTTCTGCGTTTTAGATCTTCCAAGAAACTTGACCCCATGTGTTGTCTTCGCAAGAGATTCGCTCCCTGATCTGCTCCTGCCCAAAGATGTTCTGCAGAGAATCCGTAAGACCTCTTGGCTGGGTCTTTTCCCAACGGCAAGAGCCCCGAAAGACAACATCAGAGGTGTCAGGATGGTAAATTCTGAAAAACGTTAAGATAGAAACCACTGGGATGAAACCAGAAATTGCACTTGTTTCTTCTGTTAAGTCCCTCTGCAAGCAAGCAACGATGACCCTCCCCAAATTCCTCTTGTATGCCTAAAGGGCAACATCTGCACGGAAAAGAACCGGGGCTACCATGCGCTGTGGCTAGTCTCCGTGCACGTGCAACGTGAGACCCGGGCGAAGGCCAATATGAGGAGGTGGATTTGCACCTGAAAAGGAAGGCAGGGAACGGGGGTGTTGAACCCAAGCCCAGCTCTTGATTTGCAAGCCAAGGTTTGGAGAGAGTCATCAGTACCGTTGCACTGAATCCGTCACTTCTGGTTTCAGAGCTTGGTGAATGGAACTTAAAAGACAACAAAATGAAGTGCAAGGTGGTCAATCCTTGCCTGTGGAAGCAAGGCGAGCCCAAAAATGGTAATATTGCACCTCAGAGTAGCCCTGTTCAGACTGATCGAGGCTGGGAGAACGGGGTCACTCGGTTGCTCCCTTAAACAGAATTCCTGATATGGAGGCAAAATATATATTTTTCTGCCACTGGCTACAAAGAATGACAGATAATATTTCATAAAAGCTTTCGTGGACAGCACTCCACAACGCTTGTTTGTTTTTAAGCTGCCACAAAATTGTTTTTGCTGCCAAAGACTTAAAAGGGTGACCTTCCTGGAAGCATGAGCAAAGATCAGCTCATCCCCAAAGCTGCCACGACCGACACATACCGTATACTTCCTTCGGATGATAAAGATATGAATGTCCTCGCTCCGATACTCTTCATCGTGCTCCTCCAGAGGAACCTTTTCCAACTCAAAGTCCTTCTGCAGAAGCTGGGATTTAAAACGGACTAGAATCAAAAGTCCACACCTCTCAATGTCCTTTGGACTCAAACTCAGGTCTGGGAAGCTACTTTTTAAAAGTAATTTGTTTCTGATACACTTTATGGTGTTTGAAACAAGTGTTACTCATTACAGTGGTAAGCTTTTATGTATTTGTTACACTGCCCCTTATATTTCTGATACTTTCCATTACTGACCCTCCCACACAACACATACACAGAGGACCGAAAAGAGACTGCATTAAAATTGGACAAATTTCTGTCAAAAATACTTCCAAAATGTTACTTGAAAGTAACTGTGTCACTCTCATGCGAGTAACTTTGCTCCTGCTTATTACAATACTTCTGAGATGTAATTTCATGACATAACGGTAAACCTCTCAAAGGTAACTATCTGCAATTAATGATATTACTTGCAACTCGTTAACTTTCAAGCTCTGTCCACAGTGACACCAGGGAGACGACAAGAATCATGAGACCGTGAACCATGAAGATGACCTATTGGGACATCGAGGGACAGAACTCATGTTTTCCAGTCACCCACATCCCTCATGCAACAATTTCAGGCTTTTTCTACACAACAACAAAAGATGTCCGGCTGGTGACGTGGGATGATGATGACTCACCTCAAAATACCTTTTCTCCACTTCTGGGTTTTTCCCCATGGTTCTCTCTTCGTAACAGCAAAGGATGGAGGTCCTGGGGCCAGAGAGGTCTTTCAGGGTCTTGATGAGAGGCTCCAGCGACTGCCAATACAACAGCAAATCATCTGCAGTGTAGCAGTAGCAGCCCATCGTTATTTGTAATAAATAATTTGGTAGACAAGGGGCTAACCCAGAGCATGACGAAAGGCTGGCCAGGCCCATGTTTATCGGTCGTCAAAGCAGATGGGACGCACATGGGAGAACCACCCGCCAGCTCCCCTGGGAGAACCAGGTGAGGATCGCCTCCCTTTTCAGGTGGCTCAGGGTGTGGAACGTTTCATTCAGTCTGAAGAAACGTCAAACCGAATCAGTGGGGATTTGGTCAATCCATTCCCCCGTAAGCTATACAGACTCGGTGGGACTACTCTGCTTGCAAGTGGCGACTGGATTTCAGCCGTAGTCTTCAATTCCTCATCACACACACACACAAGGGCCCTGTGAGAATAACATCCTTTTGAATTACAAAGCACCTTAATTCATGCTTCTAAAGCCCAAGGAAGAAAGTACTAATAATGGAATAATTATGGTCTAAAGATCAAGAACAGGGGGCACCGAGATTCAAATTCCTAAGCAGCAATGTAATTTTGGATCCACTACAACCTGTCTAATAGGGCTCTTGTGAGGATTTGAAAAGGTAGCTTGAGCAGCTTGACAGAAAACCTAATAAAATCGCATGTAGCATGATTTTAAAGAGGGACAGAAGATGGAATGGATTTCTGAGGGTCACACAAGGTACTCAAAAGCAGACCACAGGTGCGACTGCTCAATTTCAAAGTCTCACAAACTGCGTAGGAGGTCACATAACAAAAACAAAAGAAGGACCCCCCTCCTTATCTGCAGGATCAGTGTCTGCTGATTCACTTCTCCAAAGTCTCAAAATATTGAAAGAAAAATCCTAGAAATGAGTATTTCTAAAGACGAAGGTACCAGAATTGGCCACTGGAGGGAGCGAGAGACCAGGCTACATAGAGACCAGGGTCCTCCTTTACTCAGTCAGGGGCCTCGCATTCAATCTGATCTCCCAGGACTAGCTCAGCACTAGTTCCTTTTGAGAATATCACACACTTTTAACCCAGATTAACTGCCAGGATTTCCCTGCTTTTCTCCATCCCCAAATTCACCCCAGCCCTACAAAGATGGAGAAATCCTGTTCAAATATGTGTTGTATAGACTTTCATAACAGCTGGGATAGGAGAACCCAATTGGAAGTACTTCTGGAAATGGGATATGCCACTAAGCTTTCTCCTAAATAAAGCCCTCAATGGCTGAAATCCTATTGCTTATCTTCCCTGCCCTTCCGCAAGCAGGCAAAGACCTTTCTCTTCAGGCAATCTTTCCCTTAAGCTGCCTGCCTAAACATGTCTTTTTAAATCGAGCTTTGTCCCTTACTACTGCATTGAATGTATTTTGGTGTTGCTTATGTTTTTTGATATTGTAGTCATTGATCCTTTAAATATCGTACACTCGTTGCTACTAACTCAAATACCACCTTTTAATTGTTGAAAGCTGCCTTGGGCCCTTTGTAATATTATTTAAAAATAAACTAACAAATAAATAACAACAGCCAGTGTGCGCCCATTGAATCAATGGAGGAATTGGCACACCCAATCCCAACCTGATTTGATGGGCCTACTTGTCATTGGGACTACGACATTAAGAAATAGGATTTCAGCCAATATGTAACTTGAAAGTGGGTGGGTGGGGGACAAAGGGTTTACCTCCTCATAGTAGATGCAGTCTGCCATCAGTATATAATCTGGTGCAGGAAGGAAGTCTGTTACTTCTTCACCCCTACACAAACATCAGAGAGGAATATAATTCCCATTAGCATTTATTTATCTATTTATTTGGCATTGGTGTGAGACATAGACAACTTGCCACAGCTAACTAACAGGATGCAGAGTGCATCTCGATTGTGTGATGGGAGAGCAACTGAGGCGCATCTTGGCATTTTATCAAATAGATATAGTAAATTATGCAACCTTGTGCAAACATTGATAGGATTCTGTTGACAGTCTTTTTCTTCAACAGGGAGGCAGGAATAAGCATCGCAAAAGATGCTGTGACAGTCAGATGGTAAAAAGCCAGCCCGGAGACACGGAGGCCCTCAATATATTTGTCTTATTTAGTTCCGTTTCCAGCTACCCTGTCCTGAAGACTTGGCGAGAGATCTTCTGATGGATGCAGGCCACAATCCAACTGGTGCTTGCGCAAGGTTTGTGTCACTCGCCACAGCTCACTGCGGCTAATTAATGAGGGGCAGGGGAGATGCATCTCAGTTGGGCCTGGTCACAAGTTCAACTGTGCCCCAACCATGATCCTCTGCACAGTATCTTGTCAAGTGGCTGCAACAGATTTATGCAAACGTCATGCAAACCTCATCAACAGAATTCTGGCCATAAAATATTATGGGACCAGTTCATCGCACCAAAAGCAAACTGGAGCTTTTACCATACTTCGGCTTTTGAATTACAGACCTCGTCCCCATTTAAGATTTCCTCTCTATGATTACATTTGTCTCTCCTCCCCACCCCCAAACTGCAAACGTAAACAGCCTCTTGGTAGACTTTACATTGCAAAACGAAAAATCCATACGAACCATTTCAGTACCTTGGCTTGAATGGAACCTGTGATAAGGTTCTGATTATTTTCAATGTTCATCTTCAGCAAGTCTTGGACTTCCTCAAGATCCGTCACTGTGACGTTGGCCCTACAAAACGAAGCAGCGTCTCGTTAATTAAAAGGGGAAGCTGTAATCTCATGAATGCATTGGCCTAAGAGAGGCAAAAGACCCTTAAAGGCAATCTCTTATTTTCCTTAAAGGAAAATAAAAAGTTTTGCTTCCCACCCAACTGTTGTCAGCGCAAGCAGAAACAGCGCATCCGTCTCAAGCCACTGCAAACGGTGCACAAAAACGAACCAGGCATCCCATGTGACCTACGGCACATTTATTTGATTTATTTATATACATGAATTTTGTTATTTATTTAAAATATTTTTTTTAGTCCACCTTACTCTCAAGAGGAGCCAATAAAAATAAGCTGGAAAAAGTACAGTATCTGAGAGGACATAAAATAAGGTCTGGCTTTCCCAAAGGGTTGCAGAGTATCTGAGAGGACATAAAATAAGGGCTGGCTTTCCCAACTGGGTGCTCCCCTGATGGGGAGGACTACAATGCCCATGCTGGATGGGGAGGATGGGTCTGAGAGTGGGGTGGTGGGACGCCTGGAGCAACCTGCCTCTTTTCCAAAGCCCATGCGGGCCACGTGGGGAAATCAATAGGAGGGGGAAAAGAGCCAGAAAAAGCAAAATGGGGCCGCGGTTTAGGTGAGGACCAGACTAGCCCTTCTTGGGTTCCAGAAACAAGGAGGGAGGAATGCAAAGCAAACCCGCGACGCCGAGTGAGGAAAGGAAGGGAAACGCGGCCCGCGCTGCGTGTGAACGCGGAAACACGCGAGAGAGGGAGAACACGTGTCCCCCCCCAGGCCGAGCTTTCCCGGTGGGACGCCTGCCTGCCTGCCTTTCTTTCCGTCTCCCCGACCTCCTTCAGGCCTTCCCATACCCGAGGCAGGCGGCCATGAGGCCCACCAGGCCGGGACCGGCGCCCAGCTCCAGGACGGCCTTCCGCCCCAGCTGGAGGCTCCGGCCCCGGCCCCGAGGCCTCTCCCCGGCGGCTTCGGCTTCTCCATCTTCTCTTTCTTCCTCCTCCTCCTCGGCGCTCTTCTCGAGGAAGCGGGCTAGGACGAGGGCGGCGTCCCACACCACCGAGCCCGTCCCCCCGGCCGAGCGCTGCGCCAGCCGGAGAGGCGGAGAGGGAGGCGCCTTCCTCCCGGGGCCCGAGCCCCGCCGCCATCGCCGAGGCAGCTCCCGCTCGAAGAGGCCCGGCGAAGGCGAAGGCGAAGGCGGCGGCATCCTCCTCCTCCTCCTCCTCGGGGCCCGCGGGGAAGCCGCTCCTCCCCGGCCTCGTCACGGAAAAGGCGGGCCCGGGCCTAGTCGGTCGGGAGGCTGAGGGGAGGCTCTCGCGGCCTTTCCTCAGGAGGAGGAGGTGGTGGTTCCCGTTTCCCGAAATGACGACTCTTGCCCACGGAAGCTCGCCTTAAAAAATCATCCGTCCCACGGAAGCTCGCCTTAAAAAATCATCCGTCCCTCTTTGAAGGCCCCGCAGGTTCTTATCCCAGCAGGATCCTTGTATCCGCGGGATCCGCATCCGCGACTCGAGGGTTGAAGGGGGGAATCTCAGAAAATACTGGATTTCTAAATACTGTACGGAGTGCCTGGAACGGGCCGCTCGAGGAAGCCCGAGATCACGCCCTTGCCCTGCAGGGTAGACCGTTCGCGTTCATGCGCGGTTTTCAGCATCGGCGGGGGCAGCATCGTGGAACGCATCCCCTGTGGATGCGGGGTGTGTGTGTGTGTTTCCCTGCTATACAAACAATAAGCCTTGAAAGGGTCACACCATGGTTCTGGTCTTCTTTATTTTTACTTAATGAGGGCTGCTGGCAAGGGAACCATTTAACAGGGCGAAATATAAAACGCTTCCAGCTAAATTGGCAGCGAGAAGTCCTCAAAAATTGTTTTGAAGATCCTTTATATTCCTGAAATAAAGAGAAGTATCCATTGCTTCAAAAGCCGATGAGACCTTTTACAGCCTGCGCCGGGGGGGGGGGGCACCCTACGGAAGGCCCCTTTTTCTTGAACTGACCCACCTGGCCAGCGTTTCCATTGGGCATGTTGTGATAAATGTGTTGTTTTTTAATTCATCTCCTTTATAAAGCCACCTTTGTCCCCATCAAAGGGGCACTCACAAAGTTAAACAAGGAAACTTAAAACACACACACACACACACACACAATCAGCAAGTGTTTCAAGTGCTTTAAAAAGTGTTTGGTGTCTCTACCCATTTCGATCTGGAATCCTAGAATAACTGAGCCATAAGGGGCATCTTAAGGCCATCTGGTCCCACCCCACCCCCTGCTCAAGGCAGGAGTCCGGATCAAAGCAGGTCTGAGAGTGGATAGTCCTATTTCCATGGTTGGAGTTCCCACCACCTCCCCCTGAGGTCATATGGGTCCCATGGTGGTACTGCTCTAAAGGTTTTAAGATCCCCCCCCCCCATATTCAGCCGAAATCTGGTTTCCTGTCACTTGACAGCCCTGCAGTCTTACCTCTCTCGGATCATTTTCTCCTCTGTGCCCTCTTTTATGCCAAAGGCCCCATCCAGGCAGTTCATCCTACAAAAACGAAATGTAATCCTTAAGAATCAGGAGGGCCCGGCGTGCTCTGGTCCATGGGTGTCACAAAGAGTCGGACACGACTAAACAACAAAAAACCCTTAAGAATAACCCAAAATCAAGGCAGCGTCCTTGGTCCTTGTCTTTCTGTTCCCAGCGCATAGGTTTGGATTTTCTGGATGTACGTCTCTTTTCTCCCAAAAGTCTGGAAATAGTCCCTGGGATGATCTGTTAAATAAATAAACTTCATTTCTGCTGTCGCACAATTAAATAATGGCTGAGATCCTGCTGCTTAGCTTGCTAGCTTATAGAGCCATTGAATCAGTGGAAATTTTATGAATCAAGTCCATTGATTCAAATGGGCCTACTCTAGTTGTGGCTTACTTTAGCCTTCCAAACTCAAAAGCCATGGCTTCCTACCGCGTTTCCCTGAAAATAAGGCAGGGTCTTTCTTATACAGTATTTTTGTTCCAAAAATGCATTGGGATGTTTTATTCTTTTCATGTACAGCAATCTACATTGATACAAATACAGTCACGTCTTCTTCTTCTGGTTGCTGCACAAGGGTGGAGGGCAAGCTTTCACTTCACTGGGGCTTATTTTGGGGGTAGGGCTTATATTATGAGCATCCTGAAAAACCATACTAGGACTTATTTTCAGGTTAGGTCTTATTTTCAGAGAAACGGTATGAGTCAGACCATCTCATATTTGGACTTCTTCCCCTGCTGCCTTCAACTTTCCCTGACGTTTTGTTTTGGACTTGATGGCCTTATATGCTTCTTCCAAATCCATTCTTCTTGTCCAAAATCTGACACTCTCTGTTTCATTGCAATGGATGAAAAATGTCTCATCATCTCCCCCCCCCCAGATGCCTGATATCTGGAGGCAGCGCTAAGGGCAAACCCACTTTCTAGCATAATCAGGTTTCTCTCCACTCCTGTAGAGTGTGATGCATTTTACAGACTTTACAAGCATGGTTAAAAGGCCCGAGTTTTGAAACTTTCCATATTTGCTATGGGAAATGCCAGCTCAATGCATACTCAGCAAAGTAGATTTATCCTCAAAACCTGTTTTCCCTCTCATCCCATAAAAAGTGTTAAATTCACCTACTCAGAATATCTTAATCCCCTAAAACCAGTATTTCCCCACCTGTGGTGTCATTGTTTTTGGAAATTAAAGACCACCGCCTCCCCTTCCTGCAGCCCCCCTGCCATTTTCCCAATGATGATGAAGGGGATCCCAAGGCAGATTTACAGCCTTTAGGATTTGCAAAGATGTTTATTTCTAAAATAAAAAATAAAAAAATCACTGCAGCTGATGTTGTAAATTAAAGGATTGCAGCCATTATATTTTAAACTCCATGCTAAGAGCACCCATTTGGTTTTTCCATTTCTGGCACAAAAACATACAGAGCCACGTCTGGTCTGAACGTGCAATAAAGGTTCAAAGTTGCTCAGACTTTTGCAAGGAAAATACAATTTGACCAGACTTTCTTAAAAATTAAGACTGGGTTGATTTATTAATCTGGTTAAGAACTCTGATACAAAGCACAGTAAAAGGCCACAAACTAGTCAAGGAAAGGCTTCTGAATTCTACAGTACTTGAACCAGACCCATTTTATGCATCAGCTTCAATTAGCCAACTATTCCGGAGTTCTGCTGGAGAAATGAAGGTTTGTTTGTTGTTGCTGTTTTAAGGAGAAAACAAACAAACAAACAAATGGGAAAAAGCTCTTTGGTGCTTCCCTGTTTAAACACCTGAAGGGAACTACAAAGGAAACTGAGGCGAAAAACCTCACGTTTAGCTTTTGTTCTGCTTTGTTATCGTTTTGGAGTCCGGGGTGTGTGTGAAACGTCCCTGCTATGCAGGAAAACGCCTACAATGATATAGAGTGAACAGGAATTAAGAAACTGCAGGACAGGCCTCGGGTCACAGAAATGTATACAGGTTATTACTCTGTAAATATACATTATAAACAACTGTACATAATATGGCATAATAGCTTGGTTTGTCGAAACAGCAGGCAACTTTTTTTTAGCTTAAGACGCCTCCACTTGCCCAAAACGGAAAAGAAGGCACAACCGTCTAAATACTCTGAATAACTGGGCAAGGCAGGGCTGTTTTCTGCTTCACTTTACAATAACCGCTTGCAGTGCATTCTGTTCTCTTTTTTTTCCAGCTCTTTGTTCTTTTCTCTTCTCAGCAGCAAAATCAATGGAAATTAAGACATCGCATCGACTAATGTTTGACAACAGCAGAAACGGTCATTCACCAATTTCTTAGGGGTTTTTTTTCCTCCCCTTCGGAAAGGCAAGAAGCCAGAATGATTTATAAAAAAATCAGAAACATGATATACATCTTCCCCGCTTGGGTGGGAATTCCACCCATTGTGGGCACAATCTTAACGGAAATTTCCCCAGGCAAGTTGTACTGAAGGGGTCTCGATGGGGACAGCTTCCCAGCAGACGGTGCTCTCTTCGAGAAAGATCTATGTTTTAAAAAAAAAAGGCCGCTTGTGTTCCAGTTTAGAAGTATTTTTGTTTTTAAACAGCAACCATTTTTTTTTGGCTCAGTGCAATGAACTGACGTCAGTTTAAAACTCATGTAGTGTTGTCATTGACAGTGCAAAAATCTAAATTCTTTGTACTGGCAGAACAGTCAGCACTGAGGAGGAGGAGGAGAAGGCAGTGCGACTGATCCCCTGAGGAGAAGGCTGTTCCAGTGAAGACAAGGGCAGTGGAGCCAGGGCGGTGAGTGGGGAACGGGTCTCGATGCTAAAATCCTTGAGAACTGAGTCTTGATCAGCAGCATCCTGGTTGCAACAGTTAACTTGCCAAGGTACTCAAATGCTTTGCCTTATTGGAATAAATTAGAAAAAAAACAGGAACTTTACAGCTACTGGATGTTGTCAATTTTGGCCATGCTCTGAAGGTTGTTCTTCCTGACGTTTGGCCAGTCTCTGTGGCCGGCCTCTTCAGAGGACAGCACTTCAGAGCACCAGAGCATAGAGTGCTGTCCTCTGAAGATGCCGGCCACAGAGACTGGTCAAACGTCAGGAAGAACAACCTTCAGAGCACGGCCAAAGAGCCCGAAAAAACCACAACAACCATTAGATCCCGGCCGTGAAAGCCTTCGCGAATACATTTTACAGCTACTCTTCCAGTGTCCGTGACTCGCGTGGGGAAGGTCATTGAGGTGTTTCCGCGTTCTCGAGTAAAGAGAGTCTGTGCAAAGGAGGGTGGGAGAGTTCCCTTTTGTAAGTCTTTGGTGGCAGCTTGGGCAGCTGAGGACTGGAGTTCTGTCGCGGCGGGACCGGGGGAGCTGCGAGGTGGTTGGGGTTTGGGCTCAGCCCACACCAGCGGCGCAGGACGCGAGGCGAAGGGGTGCTGGGAGGCGTCTTGGGTGAGCTTGGGCACGTGGAGGCTTCCCGGAGCCGGTCGGGATCTCTGTGAAAACGTCCCGTGGGGGGTGGCTGGAGGTGAAAGGAACAATTCACAAAGTGCTCCGGGGGGCGAAGGGGGACGGGCGGAGGGGTGTCGGGAAGAGGGTCCCTCGGCGGCGGGGGAGGAGGGCTTTGCTGCGGCAGCGGGTCAAACGAACCACTGTAAGCAGGGACGCGGGGCTGTATCTTTGGAGGCGGCGGCTGCCGGGGGGGAATAGCAGGAGGGTCGTCGTCGGATTTGGAGCCGCTCTGAAATAAAGAGAAGAGAAATAAGCTAGATCGCCTCCCAAAGTAACATGAAAGAAAGGACATATTTAGAGCAACAAGCCAGCATCAAGTCCCTCAAACTGTCTCTCTCTCTCTCTTTGAAAATTTACAATTTACTTTTCCAAACACAAAAATGATATTCTTTCTCAGGGCAGTTCCTCACTTCTATCAATTCCGGACCTGAATGTGCATACCCATCGAATCTAATTTGGCGGGATTAAGGGGTTCCAGCAAAGTGGAAGGAAGACAGTCCCCGAGAGACACATCTTAAAATAAGCAACCTCATTAGCAAGTCCGCGTCCTGAGAAGACTGCTGAAGCACAGATGAGACAAGTCCATGGCCATTAAGGACTGGAAGAGATGAGATTTCACGTGGCCCCCCAGATCCTGGGCGCCTTGGTCGCCCTCACGTTCTTCTGTACAAGTTGCCAGAAAGATGCTCTCCGGCAGGCAGCCTACCTTTGAGTTAGAAGGATCCTGATCAACCTTCTTGCGAGGAGGCAGAGGAGGTGGGACCAGAGGGTCTTCACTTAATTTATGCAGACTCCCACATGAACTGAAGAAGGATTCTGAAGAAAGGAAGAGAAGGGAGTGAGCAAAAAGTGGAAAACAATTTCTGCTCTTGGACCATCGGGGATTTAGGTTTTTTGTGAGTGCATTTCGTTCCCCACATACAGGAACACAGTGGCATCCTAGTGCCTGTCTCTCCCCCCTCCCCCTTACTGTTATAAAAAGGCCTTATGGAATTCTGCAGGGGCAGCTCAGATACTCACTTGACTGGGGCAAAAGGACAGGTGCAAAGATGCTATTGCTGCTACCTGTAAAGGAAGGGCACAAGGTACGTCATTAGTATGGACCACAGTGTATTGATCATGGCCAGAGTCACATTTAGCCTTGCAAACAGAGCTGAGAGGAAGACCCAGAATCATATACTCTCCATAAGAGAATGGCCAGTCTTTGCTGCCATCGATACTTCGGGCACTTGACAGGACGCTTGCTCCACCTTGGAAGTGCTTTTGAGATCCTTTCCAATGATTCTTGTAGGGTAAAAATGTATGTGTCCTTGCTCTGAAACCCATTCGTTCTTTAACTTGTGTTATTATCATGAAGCCTGAAGTTGTGGGTGTCTTTTCTTATATGGTACAGAACTCAAATTCTGAACAGACACGGGTCCCCTCGAACTCCTCCATGGGCCTGCTGCTGTGGAAATACAGTTTGTTCACTAAACAGCTGCAACACACAGGCCTCCTCATATCATCGATGAGTGGGTTGCAAAGGCTACTTTCCCTAGGCCATTTCAGGAAGAAAAACTGAATTTTGTGTCCTGCTGATGGAGCAGCACCGGAGTCCGTCATAAGACAACAATTCCTTCTCAGAGCAAGGGTGTGCAAAGGGCTGATTTCATGCCCCTGGGGTCAGTTGGGAAACTACCTTCTTCCACTTCCAGATGTAGTTCAAAGTGGAATGAAAGGCTTGTTAAAAAGTCTTTAACCTTGCCCAGGAGCCCCATTTCAGAAGTTAATAAGATTTAATCAAAGGCTTCCCAACTATGAACTTTTGATAGAGAAATAAACTCTGCACAGGAAGCACCGTAGCAGTAAGTTTCATCCCCACCCCCCCAACAAAGCCTGGTTTCGTAATATAAGACTACAGAAGAATACAAGGATTAAAACAAAATAAGAAAGCTTATTTGCTCTACTTCAGTCTTGTATTGTCTATTTAGTGGGGGAAATTACCCAAAGGAACTAAACCAGGTACTTTTGCCTCCATGTAAACAAGCCCTTGAAATGCCAAAGCACCAAAGTGATTCCTGTACAGACAACATGTGGCTCCCTCTGGAGTGAAACCGAGGCTGTCTGCCTTGTCCTGCCCTCCCCACTTCTCAGGGCTCAGCGTGATCTCAGTAAAAGCTATACTGTTTTACCCGAAAACAAGACAGGGTCTTATATTAACTTTTCCTCCAAATAAAGCATTACAGCTTATCTTCAGGGGATGTTTTATTTTCTTCATGTATAACCATCTACGTTTATTTAAATACAGTCCTGTCATCTTCTCCTGGTTCCTGCACAATGGTAGAGGGCGGGGTGTCACTTCACTGGGGCTTATTTTGGGGGTAGGGCTTAGATGATGAGCATCCTACTAGGGCTTATTTTCAGGTTAGGTCTTATTTTCAGGGAAACAGTATAGCTTTTACTGAGATCATGCTGAGCCCTGAGAAGTGGGGAGGGCAGAACAAGGCAGTCAGCCTCGAATTCACTCCAGGGAGAGTCACACGTTGTCTGTACAGGAATCACAGTGGGAGGAAGCAGAGCCGATGCTCTCAGGAAAAACTCCTCTCTGTGGCATTCGGCTTCAGATTTAGAACTTTGGAGGTTAACACTGGGTGACCGTGAGTACGCACAGCAGTAGACGGGAATGTTAGAAAAACCAAGTTCGTATCTACACTTATCTCTAAAGGTAATTAATTGGCCTGATTTGGGCAAGACAATGCCCTCTCAAAGTTTACTGTTGTTTTGTTTATTACATTTACCGCATCTAAAGATACCGATCCTGCACGTCACAAAAAGGTCCAGACAACTCAGTTCTATATGTTCCCAAGACACAAAGAAAGAGGGCAAAGTCTAGGTGGGGTCGGGTGGGAATGAAGAGAAAAATCTTTGCCAGGAGCATAAAGAGAAGGGCTTAGAGAGCACTCTCTCTCTCTCTGTTTGGTTTTTTTAAAAGAAGCTTAAGGAAAAGGCAGTGTTCAAAATACATTGAGCCACTCATCCAATTCTAGAGGGGAGTCTGCTCAAGCCGCACCCTCCCCACTGATCGGTGGAGCTAATCAACCGAAAGCTACTGAGAACACGCACCGTAAGAGCTATTGAGGTCTATGTCTAAGAACACGCTGAGTTCTGAAGACGCAGACACCGGTGGGGTGGACGGGATGTTTGGCGACGTTGGTGCTGACGCGGCAGACTCCTGCTCGGCCTCCGTGATCCTACTGAAGCTGATCTTATAGGGCTCCTTTTCAAGGGGCATGGGGTGACCCCGCAGCGTGCCCGACGTGGAACCATGCCTGCCTGTGTTTGGCCTTATTCCGGGAGATTTCAGAGAATACGTTGTTTTCCTGGGCTTGGGAGGGGGGAGGGAAAAAGAGAAGGAGAGAGAAAAGAAAGAAAGAAAGAAAGAAAGAAAGAAAGAAAGAAAGAAAGAAAGAAAGAAAGAAAGAAAGAAAGAAAGAAAGAAAGAAAGAAATAAAGAAAGAAAGAAACCATTTGACATATTCTTCTTGTCATATATAGGGTTACACTGTGTAGCGGGCACTGAAACAAATCAGTGCCGAAATGGCATAATCCTGTTAAACTGGTACGACACTTACGTTTCACGTTCAGGCAATATTTTATTTAAAAATGAAATGCTAATGTCTTCAAACTGCATTTTATTGCAGCAGTCAGACACATTCTTTAGCAAAGAAGCAGCAAGGAGGGCTATGTTTTGCTTCAAATAAATCAGAAAGCCTTCTGAATATTAGTTTAATATTGGGTAGTGTACACAGAACACATTTTACACTCTTAAACAGATTTCTCCTCACTGGCACGTTTTGGAGCTTCTGAGGTGCCAGTGCCCAGCCCCTGAAAGTGTAAAAACTCGGCACACCCAGATCATCAGGTCACACAAGCCATTTTAAGAAACTGATCAGCCTCCCAGCCTCTTCTTCTCTTTCTGAGTTTTAAGAGAAAGAAGGGAACAAAAAGGGAAGATACCACAAATCCACAGCACATTTTCCAGCCTAGAAATGAAAGTAAGAGGAGGCAAGGCTGTCTCTCAATTCAGCCAAACACCTAAAAGGCATCTTTCCTTAGAAGGAAACTCAACTTCTCCTCCCCAGCGAAAATCAAATACTTTGTGACACGCACACCCCAATTTCCAAGAGGGCGGACAGGGTTCCCCTCTTCTGTACTTCTATTCCACAGAAGGAGACGAAGCTCTACTCAAACAAACAGGATTTGTTGACTGAGACCACAACTCATCAAGAAGGATCGCTTTCATCAGTTCTAAACCAGTCTTCAATACTGCTCGGTGAACTTCCACACCCATTCCTGGATTCAAGACAAACACCCCTCCGTCTTTAGAGCTACCGATGAGGAGTCTGGCCCCTGACCGATCAGTTTTATATACGCTAGAGGCGAGGGCTGTTGCAAACAGGGCTGGCCTCTCTGACTACTATGGTAACAGGCCGGAGAATCTCCCCTTCTCTCTTTCCTCCGTTTGAGGTACTGGGGAGCCTGGCAGGGCACTCTCCTGATTATTTGGCCAGGGTTAGGAAGAGGCGGGCACCCCTCTGAAGCTCATTCTTGAGCACAGCCGCCTCTTTCCTTTCTCCGCAAGCAGAGAACGGCTTTCCACGTGGTTGAGGGCTCCCAGGATGCTCAGCCTCCTCTCTGGGTGCCCTCCAGGAAGCCATCTCCCCAGGCCCTGGGAGCTCCCTTTAAAACGTGTCCCCGCTCTCCCTAGGGTCCGTCCCCTATCCCCTCAGAAGACTCCACCTCTGCTAGGTAAGGCTCTTCGCTCCTGCAGTAACCCCCAACGCTCCTCCTCTTCTTCTGGTTCTTCTCCCTTTTCTTTTCTTTTTAATTAATAAAAGAAAAATTACAAAGAACAAAATAAAAACTCAAACACAAATCAGAAGTGACTACACACCATACACATTGATCTTTCCCCACCCATGCCACCTTCACCTGCGGGACTAGGTGATCAATAATATCAATTTTGTTAATCCTTTTCACCCGGTACCTCTCTCAAAAAAATACATGGATTCTTTTGCTGGCCTATAGCCTTTCCCCTTCGAAAAGACACAGTATGGATTCCATACATCTTTGAAACCATTAGTCTTTACCATTCCTCTTCTTATTTTCACTTCACATGTTAACTTATCTGTAATTGCTAAGCTCCACATATCTTCATACTAATCTTCAAGACAAACTGCTTTTCCAGTTCTTTGCAAATATTAATCTTGCTACTGCAAACTTTGTAACAACCAACTCTGATCTTTTTTCAAATGATCATTCTTTATTATGTTCAGGAGGGCAATAATTAGCAATATCTAAATATCGCATGCAGCAAATTTTTCTAATTTCCTTAAAAACCATTGCCCATTCTTTCTTTCCTATTCCACACATCCACCACGTAGGCATATAGGTCCCGTTTTCTTTTTTGCATCCCCAGTATTGAGATGGCATGTTTTTATTTATTACATTCAGTCTTACTGGAGTTAAATAACATCTCCACGCTAACCTTACAGCCATTTTCTCTTATCCTTATAGGCATTCTTCATTATTCTTTGTGACCCTCTCGTTTCAATCCTCTCCTTTAGTCTCTTTCCCAAAGTCCTCCTACCACTTGTTTTTGATTGTTGCTTGTCCGAAGCTGGAAAGTACTAAAAATCTTATAAATTATGATAACCGTTCCTTTTCTTTTTCTTCCTCCTTCTTGATCTTGTCTTTGTTCAATAATCTCATCAAATTGTGTCAATTTTCTAATCCCTCCTCCTCCTTTTCCTGTCCACTCTCTAGTCCATCTGCAGTATGTGCTCCCTTCTCTAAGGTCTCATTGACCAATCAGTTCTTCCTTCCTGGACTATCTCTTCTACTGTATTTTCCCCCTTCGGTTACTCTCCCCGCCCCACTGCTTACAACCCCTCTTTTTAAGTACTCATCTCTCAGGTATCCTTTTTCCTTCTCCAGAGGCCGTTCCTCTTTTCCCGAGCTTTCAGCTTCCCCCCGTTCCTCATACCATTGCCACTCCCAGGTTGAGTGGAGAGCCAGATCCCAGGGAGAGGAGAGGCAAGACAGCCCACTGTCTCCGTCACTCTCCTCCGCCCCCCAAATATCAAACATGAAGGCACATGGATTCTCAAGATCAGTGGAACAGGACTGCAACCACTAGGTAATATTATTTTGACATCAATCTTGACCCCCAACTTACTTAAACCTAGTGAGTTTACTAAATTATCACCCCAATTTTCAGAGGGAGGATACTGGTTTTTCTGTGTCACCCCTCCTCCCTCGGCCAAGCAGAACGTTGTCTATTTTGAAGAAGGGCCAACTGGGAAGAGGGGTGCGTGTGTACATGGGCTGTGCCTCTTTGTTCCAAAAACTGAGGTGTGGAACCCAATCCACAGCAGGAGCTGCCCCTTTAAACAACCTGACCGCTTCCTGCTTATATCTAAGAAAGATGTGCCTGGTGAAATCCAGCTTGCCATCAACATTTGGGCTTTGCCTTGAAGAAGTGTGTACAGTACCCACAAAAAGTTGCATATTGTATATTTTTCTAATTTTTTTGTCAGTAGCTTATAAAGATATCACTTACTCTTCTTGCATCTATATTTTGCAGCAACCACAGACAGGGCTCCCCTCTTTTAATTCCATTCTAACAGTATCTTAGGTACTCATTGATAGAGCCCTATGGCTTTAAAATAATTAAAAATACGTAAATAGCTTACAAATCTGGGTGGCTGTTTGCAATTCCGAGGCTCAATTTCTTGCGATTTGTTGAACAAATAGTCTGTGAACTCTTTTTCCTGGAAGCTTCCCATGGGATTCAAATTTTCAAAGAATCTCTGAAAAGACAAAAAATAATTTCATGGGTATCATTATTGTCTTACTACCTTTTTGCCAAACTGAATGTACAAAATTTATTTATTTTATTTTGATTTGATTTGATTTCTACCCTACCCATCTAGACCAAAGGTCTACTCTGGGCGGTAAAACATTCAGACACACCTGACAAGACAGAGTTTACTCACAATAATGTATGCATGAATTACGTTAGGGCAGGGGTAAGAAAATGTGTGAGAGGCTTCCAATTTATGGTGACCCAGTTTGGAAAACACCCTGATGTTGGGAAAATGTGAAGGCAGGAGCAGAAGGGGACGACAGAGGACGAGATGGATGGACAGGGTCACTGAAGCGACCAACATGAATCTGACCCAACTCCGGGAGGCAGTGGAAGACAGTAAGGCCTCGCGTGCTCTGGTCCATGGGGTCACAAAGAGTAGGACACAACTTAATGACTAAACAAGTTTGAACTTTTGAAGTTTGTGAGATATTCAAGAGTAGTTAACACTGCCACTCTCTGCCCCCAAGCCCCCGTGAATTTCCACTTAACCCAGGTCCCCTTAAATCATCAAACGCAATCTGCTACAATACACCAGCTCTCTGGAAGAGAAGACATACAGGTAATTCTCTGCTTCTGACATTTCCTGACTGTACTCTGCATCAGTGGTTCCCAACCTTGGGTCTCTGGGAATTCTTGGGCTAAAACTCCCAGAAGCCTTCAATCCCTACCCCAGCTGTGCTGGCCAGGATTTCGGAGAGCTGTAGTCCAAGAACATCTGGGGAATACAAGTTTGGGAACTATTTTGTACATGAACTCAAGAAAACCGTATCACATGTTTTTTTCCTCTCTACCTTAAAGAGCTTTCAAAATAACAGCCACCTAAACTCATGGACATTCTTTTTCAGAGCTTACCATATGACCTTGGGCTACGCTACCATGCATGATGAGCCCACAGTAAGCCCTCTATCCCTTTTCACCGCTGGAGAACTGAAAGAGCAAGACAGAAAACACTCTAGCCAAAAAAAAACCCTAAGTTCTGTATAAAGAAAAAAATTCTGCCACTGCCATAAATTCTGGAGCTCTGACAATGCTTGGGATGAAGCAAATCTAGAAGCGGCAGGAGAACAGGGGAGAGAGGAGGAAGACCAAAGGCAAAGGGACACACTTAACAAGAACTGACAACTAGTGACATCACAGAAATATAGGAAACCATCTTATAGTGAGTCAGATTGTCAAGCCGAGCATGTTCAACCCTGACTGGTTATCAATGGCTCTTGCTCTACAGGAAGAATTCTGACATTCCCACCCGAGTCCTAACCAGGCCTGATCCTTCTCAATTTCCAAAACCAGGTAAGTTCAGAGTGAGATGGCATCATGACACTTGCTCAAAGTGTATTTGACGTGTTCTTAGTGAACAACAAAGGTCTTGAGATAGCCACAGCATCATTGTGACACAGCCAGAAGGTGCATTATCAGTACTGAGAAATACAGGAGAAGGGACTCAAGAGGCACTGGGGTAGTAGTTCAGGAGGTCAGAGCATCCGGTACCCTATGATGAATTTACAAAGTTAAGTCAAAAGAAATAGGTCTAGAAAATTCTGCTTCCTGCTTCTTTCCCAATCCCTTCCACGAATATTTCAAGACAAAGCTCAAAGAGGAATGCCCAAAGCACAGCAGTTGCAAGTCGAAAGTCTTATCACCTGCCCTGGCTCTTGCTTGCTTTGATTCTTTTTTTTTTTTTCTGGAGCTGCCCAGATAGCTCAGTGGTGTTTAGGTATGCGGAGCCAGAGGGTGGGAGTTGGGTTTCCCATGCTGCCACCTGGGAAAAGAATCCACCTGTGTGGCTAAGTCCCAAGGTGCCTTCAGAAGAAAGGAACTTAGCATACCCTGGAAAGGGTTGCTGTTAAGTCGGAATCAGCTTGATGGCACACAATTATTATTATGGAGGAATACCTAGAATAGCCACCCAGAGCACCATTGACAAGACTACATGGATGCATAACATCAGCAAAGCAGGACTGCAAACTGAAGCAAGCATCTGCTTCCAACTACTAGGCAATATGGTTGATTTGGCTTCAATTGGCTCTACCTAGTGAGGGGTAGACTAAATTTTTATCCCCAGTTCTCTGATGGGGGTTTGCCGCATTGCTCCGTAACTTCCATCCCTTTGCAAAATAGGAACCCAGAGTTTCAAAAGGCGGCGATGACGGAGGGGGAAAGCCTTTGGTTTGGAGAGCTGGGAGGGGGGATCCAACCAGCAGCCCCCCAGGAGAGGAAGGAGAATCCGAGACTCCCGACAGGTGTTTGCATTATCGGAGCTCACCTTTAAGGAACAGACAAGAACATGGCAAAGACATTGGCCGCAACTTCTGGGACTTTTGTATGGGTCCCCCCCCCAGCACCATCCACAATAGATTGGGGCACTGTCTGAGGAAGACTAGCATTGGTCGAAAGCTAGCATTTTTTTTAAAAAAATAATTTTTGGGTGGTCTAGTATAGGTATCCCATCGCTTGTCCCAGCTCCTGCCAACCTAGCAGTTTGAAAGCACGTAAAAAATGCGAGTAGATAAATAGGTACCACCTTGGTGGGAAGGTAACACCATTCCGTGTCTAGTCGCGCTGGCCACATGACCACCGAAACGGTCTACGGACAAAACGCTGCCTCTAAGGCTTGGAGACAGGGATGAGCACTGGCCCCTAGAGTCGGACACGACTGGACTCAATGTCAAGGGGGGAACCGTTACCTTTACCTATAGGTATCACTTGTCCTTGCTTGTGTACCTCAGTTTCAGTAAATGACACAGTGTTAAATCTCAGCTTCAGGCTGGCTTACAGCTGTAAAAAATCTCAGCATAACATCAACACATTCTTTCAGCAAAGAACGCCGAGGCTCTCCAATTACCCGTATGTCTGGTTCGACCCGTAAACAGTAAGGCTGGTTTTGATACTGCTGGATTTCTCCTGTGATTTCCGCCACTTTCCTCCTCTTACTGAAGTTGATTAACCCTTTCCCCTGTCTTTTAAGGAAGTCAGGGTTTCCTTCTTCTGTTTTTAGAATATTTGTCAGGTATATTCCTAAATGGAGAGAGGGAAAGGGATTTGAGACGGCCCGCACTCATCAGCTTTTTTAACGGCTAGAACCCACAAGGACAGAAAAGCAAATTGTTCAGGGCATATCACACAGTACTCTTGTGCACCAGAAGGGGTTAAAGAGACCCTGCTTTGATTTTCAGCTCTCGCTTCTGCATGATAGGGTTAGGAAAGGAATTCTTTGTCAGACCCCCACTTCTCCAGTTATCCTTGGTAAGGCTCTCTTTAATACTTTAACAAAAGAATAGGTCATAAATGCTTATCCTTATCATCATCATCAGCTGTAGCAGCAAGTAGATTATATGAAAATAACAAGGTTTCTCTGAAGTTGCACACAGGCTAACAAGTAAAAACCAAAATAACGTATAATGTCAAAAGATGGAAATTTAGGCAGTCATTTATATAGGAATCGGTATATGCTTTTAAGAAAGATTACAGTGTGACCCTAGAACAATCATGTTTTTTAAAAGTAAGACAAAAAGAGTCATATCCAGGAGGGACCCTCTGGAGCAGGTCAGGCAGACACAGCACTGTGGAGGAAAGGGGGGGGGGAAACGGCACAGAAGCCTGATTAAAGGACAATGGCCAGAATCCCAAATTAACAGAAAAACTCTTTTTTTGTGCCAGCAACTTCATTTTCCTGACAAAGAATTCAGTGAGAGCAGAAATCTGCACATCCTTAACAATCCATGGACCAACGCATGACTCTGCTACCGTTCCTTTCCTCTCTCAAATCAGGTCAAGCTCTCTCTCTCTCTGAGCCTCTCTCATGCATTTTCAGAGTAAGGGACAAAACTATTACTGGGCCTGGGGGCGGAATAAAATGAATTTAAAGGAGATAAAACCAGCAAGGTAATACCATTTACTTGATATTATCATTTCTTTGATAAGAGAGTTTTATAGATAAAACAGCAAGATAATATTCCGAGGAGCCGAAACAGCCATCGGAGGCTTGTGATATGTTTGGTTTTAAACTTTTTTTTGAAATAAGAACATAATGTAAGTATGTAAAAAGAAGAGTCCTGTGCTGGATCAGGCCAAGGACCCCCCTCTAGTCCCGCTCCCTGTATCTCAAAGTGGCCCCAGCCAGATACTTCCCATATATTAATATTAATTTTAAAAGGAAGAGCACTGAGTATTCAGCACAAAAATTATGTCTTAAATTTATTTATTAAATTTATTTATTTGATTTATATCCCGCCCATCTGGTCTACATGACCATTCTAAATGGCCATAGCCTTATCCACCAACTACAGCGCGTAAGAAGAGATTGAGCAAAAAGTCATTTACTGCTAAATTTGCAGTGTAACTTACCAAAGAAAGGCACACAGGGTGGGTTGATGGACTTGAGCTTAGCCAGGTATTTTTTAAAGTGATCTTGACTTAACTCTACTGCTTCATCCAAAATCTTCTTTTTTCTTTCCTGTAATGCCTGATTTAATGAAAAGTGTGTGTGGGGGGGAGAGACACATAAAAACCATACATTACTAGATTTTGTTGAATTTTTGGCTACGAAGTCTTCAAAACAAATATTTGTTGCTGTTATTAAGCACTACCAAGGCATATCTGGCTTCTGGTGACCCAAATAGGGTTTTCCCATAGTATATGAATTTTTTAAGGAGGTTTTTTTTTACCAGTGCCTGCACAACAGGTGTACCTTCCATGGCTGAGCAGAATTTGAACCAAGATACAGTGGTGCCTCGCAAGACGATTGCTTCGTATGACGACGAATTCGCTTTACGATGAGGTTTCCGGAGTGATCTTGCGCTTTGTTTAATGATATTTCCTATGGCCAATTTTCGCTTTACGATGTTAGGGACCTTGCCTCGCAAGACGGTTAAATTTTAGGTCCCTGTTTTTTGCTTTACGATGTTTTTGACAGCTTGGTCTCGCTTCGCTATAAGAGTCTTTTAATAGTCTCTGTTTCATTAGACAGGTGTCTTCGCTTGGGAACCACGTTTTGCTTAACAATGTTTCCTATGGCAATTTTCGCTTTACGATGACAATCTGTTCCCATTGGATTTTCGCGGAACGAATTAACATCGTCTTGCGAGACACCACTGTATCATGAGTCCTAGCTCAGTCCACTAGACCACACTAGCAATCTACCTGCTGGCAAGTCAATTCCCTTTGCTGGGCTTTCTAGGTACCGAGGACTGGGAAGTGGTATTCCACTCCCTTCTTCTAAGCGTGCTCTGGGACTTTGCCACTGGCCCAAGGCTGGCTCTTCCCCCAAGAGACACACTCAAGAAATGACCTCTCGAAAAGAACCTGCAGCCAGGCGCACCCAACTCACTGAGTTAGCCAGCCAACGAGTTGGTTAAATTAGCCAGAATTATTTATTTATTTATTTATTTATTTATTTATTTATTTATTTATTTATTTATTTATTTATTTATTTATTTATTTATTTGTTTATT